GCCCGCCCTCCCTGGCCCCGCCCCCGCCCCGCCCCCATCTCCCAGAGCAGAGCGGCTGCCATTGCCTCCTGCGCCCCGCGGTGGGACGGTGGGCTCCGGCCCGCGCGGGACTTCATCCACCAGAAACGCGAGATTTGAGTTTCCCCTCCAAGAAGATAAACCCGCACTTAAGGCCAGGGCCCAGGCAGCTGCGGACCTGCAAACGTGCTGCCCGTGCTCGGGAGCGCGCGCCACGTGCAGGGCAGGGACGCCGAGTCCAGCCGGCCGCACCTGCAGACCGCAGCCGGCCGCCGCGCAGCCCCAGGTGGGCCCTGCCAAGAGCTGCTTCCCCGCTGGGGTAAAGCCGTGCGGAATAGGTGAAACAGAGCCGGCTAATTCGTCACACCGGAAACCGAGAGGGTGCTAACGACCTGACTAGGCACTTTCCTGGACTGTAAGGAGACTCATTGCGTCCTGCGTGAGGATTGCGTCTTCAAAATGCTTGGGGCCACAGGCGTCTCGGGTTCCAGGTCTTTAAAATATTTGAAGTTTTTGCACGTTGGGCATGGCACCTAAATCTAAATACGAAATTCGTTGTATGTTGCATATGTAGACTTCTACCCATAACCTGAAGGTGGTGTAAGCCATGTTTTTAATGCACCTGCGGTTTTGCGGGGCCGTCACTGAGATCAGATGTGGGGTCTTCACTCGCGGCGGAAGGTTCCTCCAGCCCTAGATTCCCGGCACGGATTCCAGCGTCCTCCACATTGAACACCAGACGAGCTGCTGAAAAATGCACATTCCCTGAGTCAGAGACTCCTGGCTCCGCAGGTCTGAGAAGCGAGTAAGGCGTTTCCTTTTAAAGAGTGATGCGGAGTAATTCGTAGGCGCAGAGAGGTGTGAGGGGCTGGGGCAACTGAGACCCTGACGTCATTCATACTTAAATGATTAATGAGCAAAGGCAAGCACGTGAAACGAGAAACAGTTTGAAAATGTTTTTGCTGAGATGTTTCACTTTTTCGAGCGTTCAAGACTGTGGAGTGCAATGGGAAGGACTTGCCCACCTGGGTGAGGAAGATACACCCCGACCGTACCAGCAGGTGGAGCAATAAAACAAGAAATAGGTGCTTACTGCTGTGCTGGGGAGACCGTGGCCCCAGAGGACGCGGGAAGGTAAAGGAATTCCTCCGCGCTCGTTTACCAGTCGGGAAGTCCTTGCAACTGTTCTGGATACCGCGAAGCAGCAGCGAGCGCGTCTGCGCCTGACCCGCGAGCGGTCCGCTGTGAGGACGCCAGCGACCGGGGAAAGTGGTCTCAAAACTGCCTGTGCCCTGCCTGGACCTCGGCGCCATCTGCTACCGGACACGACCAGAAACTGCGGATGAGCACAGTCCTCCCCGGGAGCTGCGCCCGCCCCCGCCGGGGGTGCTGGAGGAGGGTGTCGGGGAGGAGGAGAAGTCCTGGGGCTCCTGCAGGGCGCCTGCAGGGACAACGTAAGGTCCCCGCCTCAGGGCAGATGAGCCGTGCTGGGGGCCAGGCCTGGGGGCGGTGATGACACATGAGAGAGACGGGTCCCTAGAGAGGATGGACAAAGACCTGAGCATCCAGACTGCCAGACACGCCCCTTCGGTGTGACCAGCCCCGCCTGTCCTGTGGGGGCAGTTGCACATAAAGGGGCGATGGCAGAGGGAGACCGAAGCTGCATCTGACAGCCAGTGACTGGCGTCCCAGCCCGTCCTTGGCACAAGGCAGCCGAGCCTCAGCTGTGCTGGGCAGTTGCCCCCCTCCCACTTGCCCTTTTCCCCTGGCCCTCTGCCTCCGGCCTGGTCTTGGCACACACACTCCTGCGCCTGGCCTGGCACAGCCCCAGCTCCTCACCTGTCCCCTCCCCTCCCCTCCCTGTGCGGTGTCCCTGCCCCTGAGCCCCGCCCCCCTTGCTCTCTCTGGAGATGCTGGGGCACCTTGCCAGAGGCTGCTCCTGCCCTCCTCCTGGTCTGGACTGCGGAGCTGAGCCCTTTGTCCGTGCCCTGCGTTTCTGTGTCCTTGCAGGTCAGCACTGTCTGACCATCCCCACCTTGAAAATGTGGGAGAGCCAGGCTCTCAAAGCCTGTACACCCACATTCACTGCAGCATTCTCAAAAAAGCTAAGGTGTGAGAGTGCCCTGGGGTCTCTGGACCCATGACCGAATCCACAAAATGTGGGGCCTCCACACAGTGGAATACTACTCAGCCTTGAAAAGGAAGGGGAGTGAGATTTGGGCCGCAGCATTGAAGGACCTTGAGGGTGTGGTGCTGAGTGAAAGAAGCAGATACTGTGGACAAACACTTTCCTGAGGAACTTGGAGAAGTCAGATACGCAGGAACAGAAAGTCGGATGGTGACTGTCGTCAGGGCCTGGGAAGTTTGTTTTTCAAGATGAAGAGATCATGTGTTCTTCAACCCTGCAGTCTCCTGTGCATACAGAGATGAGTACAGTGGCAAACTTTATCTCGTGTATAGTTCACCATGATAAAAAAATTTGAGAAAACCCGAACTAGAAACATGAAACAAAAGTAACCCCTGTCTCTGTTCCTTCCTCTTCATTGCTGGAAAGCACAGCGTTTCAGGGTCCTGCTCCCACTCTGGCCCTCCTTTTCTCTCTGTGTGGACAGAGACGGCGCAACTGGGAGCACTGCTGCGTCAGTCCACGGGGTCCCTGTCGCCCACCTGCTGGCCACACTTCAGGGTGCCGCCTGCTCCGCCCAGCCCAGCGGTCCTCGCTCAGGTCTCCGCAGCTCTGCTGTCCACCCTGTCTCGGCTGGGTCTCTGCTCTCCTCCTTTCTGGGGCGCTGGAGCCTTCGGCAGAGTAGGTTCCCAAAGTGCAGACCTGGGTCCCGGCCCCGCCCACTGAGCTGGAGCGAGGGCATGCCGGGGCCCTGCTTGCCCCAGATGGGCTGCAGGTGACCCAGATCTGCGCCCTGGGAGCGTGGAGCAGAGGCCACACCTGCCTACCTCCGCCTCGCCGCTTGGGCTGGTGCAGTTGCTGCCGAGACTTCTGGGGGCTGTGTAAGCACAGTGGCCCCGTGGTCTGCACCTGCCCGTGCTCTGCAGTAATACCGCCTGGTGGCAGCAGCAGGAGCAGGAGGCAGGCGGACTGCTGCCTGTACGCACTTCTAAAAGTAAGGCAACACCAGGCTTTATTCATACGGCCCTGCCAAGTTCAGGACCCCCGTGAGTACCAGAGTCCCTGGTGCCCAAGTCCCTTGGGAGGTGCAGTGCAGGCAGTCACGTCCACCGCCAGGGAAAGTCTTGAGCTGCGTTGTTCAGGGGCCGAGGAGGACCTGCGTGCTTGGCACAGGTGCGTCATTTCCGACTGTTCTCTGCCCACAGTGGCTGAGGCTGTGATGTGGAGCTGCAGGTCTGCAGGGCTGACTGTGTTTAGGATGCTGGGGACCCAGGGCCCCTTGGTCCCTGGGGCTCCTAAGTACATCCGGAGGGGAGGTGGAACCACCTGCTGCAGAGCGTGGCCTGCTGGCAGCGACGATCACCTGCCACGCTCGGGTCACACAGTTCCACTCCATACCAGCCCCCCCCCCCCGGGTAGAACGTGGCCTGACCTTCTGCTAGGATGGCATCACGGTGGGAAATACAGAACGACGTGCCCACGTGCGGATGCCAGGAGTGGCACACTGCAGAGAGGCATCGCTCAAGCCGTGGCAGACCTACCTGCTGGACCAGCGTGGGAGAACAAGTCCTTGCCGAATACAGATGTTTAAAGGATGCATTTCATGTTTATCTTCTTTTTGAGACTGGGTCCGCTGCTGCAGCCCCTGCCCCATGCCAGATCTCTATAAGCATGGAATAATAGGATCGCTTATAAATGCAGCTGTGGGATAAATCAGGGTCCAGAGCAGACATGCAGTTCATAATTCAGCTGGGGCCCCAGTTTTTTGGACAAACACGCAGCCTGTTGTGGTACACTTAAAGATGTTTTGAGGTACTAATGACCCTAAAATTAGGGAGGTTTGTATTTATCCACCACTGGTTGATCTCTAGTCTGAGCAAAGCTACATCTCCACCTCTACCCAGGTTGGTTTATGTTAGGAGAAATTGTCCCTCTGTTTCTGAATCTGTGATATGCAAAGGATACATATGAGAGTGGGCTTTGAACAGTGCCACTTTCAAAATGAAATTTGCATTATCTCAAGCTGTAGTACTAAAATCACATATATGT